AAGTTCTGTTACAGTCACGCTGAGGCCACCCTGTCCTTCATAATTGGTCCTGTCTTATTCCACGAAGGCCCCTTTTCCTGAGCTCGCGGGCAGGAAAAGGCATTAACCCCAGAGGGTGGGCTACACGGTGGATTGTGTTCCCCAGATTCACGTGCTGAAGTCCTTGTCCCTGGTATCTCAGACTGTGACCCCATTTGGAGACGGGGTCTGTAAGAGGCAGTTAAGATTGAATGAGGCCATTAGGATGGGCCCTAATCCGGCGGGACTGGAGTCCTTCCGGGGAACTTCAGGCGTGGAAACATCCACTCAGGGCGAAAGCTTGTGAATCCAAAGACAGTCACCTATGAGCCAAGGAGAGAGCCTGGGCCAGGTCGTTCCCTCAGCCTCGGAAGGACCCAGCCCTGCTGACACCTTGAATTTGGACTTCAGCTTCCAGTACAGTGAGAGACTAAATCCTGTTGGTGAAGCTGCCCAGTCTCTGTGCTTTTTTCCCGCAGCCCCAGAATAACGACACTGAAACAGCCGTTATTTTGTTCCTTCCGGGAGGGGCGGCAGGTGGAGAGGAAGTCGCTGCTGGTGGCGAGGTGGGGAGTGGAGAGCTGGTTTGTGCCCCGGGAGCATTTTTGGGCTGGAGAAGCCATGTCTTGGCCAGTTGCCTTGAACAGCTCTGAGGATTTCCTATGTTCCCAACCGTCCAGAGTGCTTCCTTAGCTCACCCGGCACTCACACCACCTGGTGATGCAGGCACAGCCCTTTTCCCCATCTGCCCGGCACAGAGAGGTTGAGAACTTGCCCAAGGCCACACAGCCGGCCAACTGCAGAGCGGTCCCACTCCGGGGGCTGTGCTCTTGCAGGGCAGAGTGGAGGCTGTCCCTGACAACGTTTCTTGCCCCCGGGGAGGCGGAGGTGACTAGTTAGCTCGGTGGTCCAGATGGTCCCCAGGCTCACCTGGAGACTGGGCCAGGGCTGTGTGGACAACGCTGGTGCAGAAACCACTTATTCCTGCCCGGAGGGTGAGGCCACGTGGGATCCTCCAGTTTACAAACTCTCTGTCACTTTTTAAAGATTGTTCTTCCTCTGTGTTTGTTTGGGGTAATTTCTATTGCTTTGTCTTCAAGTTCACTCACCTCTTCCCCTGCAAGGCTTAATCTGCTATTAATTCCACCTGGTGTATTTTTCATCTCAGATACTGTGGTTTTCACGTCTAGAAGTTTGACTTGAGTCTTTTAAAATATTTTACATGTTTATAACTTTCTGAATATATGGGATACAGTTGTCATAACTTTTTTCTTCTTTTAAAAAAGCCTTTATGTTTTAGATCAGTTTCAGGTTCACAAGAAATTGAGAGGGAAGGACAGCGCTTTTCCATGTACTCTGTGCCCCCTACACGCAGAGCCCCCTGCACGATCAGCATCACTCACCAGGCTGGTACATTTTTCACCAAGGAAGGACCTACATCGACACGTCTTTATCACCCAGAGTCCACAGTTCTCCTTAGTGTTCCTTCTTGGTGGCGCACGTCCTATGGGCTTGGACAAACATATAATGACATGTATGTGTCACAGTGATCTCATGTTATTTTATTTTATTAATTTTTTAGTGGAGGTGCTGGGGATTGAACCCAGGACCTTGTGCGTGCTAAGCGCACGCTTTACC